AGTTAAAGTTTTTTTGTAGAAAATCATTGTGTAATATTGTAACTGATAACTGATAATATATTCTCTAGAAGTCTAATATCTCTTACATTATTCCATAGCAAACTGATCGAAAAGTTTTTAAAAAGTTTTCAGTAAACTAAACTTGCTTAAATGTTTCTATAGATAACCGAAATATAGAAAACTGATCGTTATTGTCTAGAAGTCTGATCTCTCCTACATCGTTCTATAACAAACTGATCGATAAAGTTTTAAAAAAGTGTTTAGTAAACTGATCTTGCTTAAATTTAGATAGATAACCAAGATATACAAAACTGATCATTATTAGTTATTATTAGTAAAGTAGTAGTTAGTTAGTTAGTTAGTTTGAAAGGAGGATGTACATATATACATCAAATCCGAAGAAATACACCTAGGCCTCTATCGGGCCTGTTGTGCGCTCCTTAACCAGTGCCTCAGGTGGGAATCGAACCCACCACCTCCGGTCTACCAGACTAGAACACTAACCACTAACCCACCGGAGGCCACCTAGTAAAGTAAAGTAGTAAATGTAGTAAAATGTTATCGAAATTGATCGAAGTAAAAGTTTTGCAAAAATATGATAGAAACAAATTTTGTAAAAAAAACTGAACTTCTTAAATCATTGTTTAAATTTTTTATAGAAAACAAGTGGGGGCCCGGTCCGCGTTGCAGGCCCATGAATAGCCATGTGGACTATACACGTAATGATCTATGTACCCATCAAATTTTAAAACAATCGGTTTAGGTGTAATTGACTAAAAATTAAAACTTCGACGCCATCTGTCGGACAAATGTAAAACTTTTCAGGAAAACTTCTCACGATCCCTGGTGCCTTAGTGACTGAGTTTATCGATTACGAACAAAAACAAGTAAGAAATTGTAGTCGGGCGAAGCCGACCCTATAATACCCTACACTTGTTACAAAAATAAAATGTGATTTAATTTTCATAATAAAGCATTTAAGTTGAATTGTACCTTGCCTCAGATATACTTAAGCCATTTATTGTTGAATAAAATTGTGGACATTTAAGTCAAATTTTGAAGGCGACTTTGTATAAGGGCTACGGTCAAATGAGACCCTATAATTATAAAATTCATGAGAGTCATCAAGGCTAGTATACGAGTATATTAAACATAATTATCAACTAAGAGGCCCTATTCGTCGGGTTCAGTTTTATGGAGGCTAGGTGAAATAATGGACCGATGTTAATAGGTTTCGTCTCCGGTATCATAGAAGATCATGTGCCAAATTTCATTGAATTATCATCAAAATTGCGACCTGTGGTTTGATTACAAGGTTTAAAAGCCCTATTCAGGGGTTCAGTTGTATGGGGGCTAGGTGAAATAATGGACCGATGTTAATAGGCTTCGTCCCTGTGACAATAGAAGATCATGTACCAAATTTTATTGAATTATCTTCAAAATTGCGACCTGTAGTTTGATTACAAGGTTTACATGGACGGACAGGCAGACAGACGGACGGACATAGCTAAATCGACTCAGAAAATGATTCTAAGCCAATTGGTATACTTTAAAGTGGGTAGGACCAATATTATTGTGCGTTACAAACATCAGCACAAACCCAATATACCCTCCCCCCTAAAGTGGTGTAGGGTATAAAAACTGATCGCCGAAGAAATTTTCTAAACCTTTTTAATGATTTCCATGCAAAACTGTTCTTTATTAAGTAGTCTACTGTTTATGACATTTGGCATTTCTCACATACTTTCTCACCCTTAAATATTTGTTATACAAACAATTCTTATACAAAAGGCGAATCTTCTAGAACAAAGCGAAATTAAGATAGTTTCTAATTGGACTAAAAAGAATGAAAGAGAACAAAAAAGGAAGCATAATATTTACAAGAACACCTGTAGAATTTTATGTTTTCACTTTTGTAAATAAAACATAAACACAAAAATGATATAAATAAAAAAGGAAATAAAAGTTAAATGTTAAAAAATAGACTATAAAAAATAAAAAAACAACAAAACTGTAGCAAAAAAAGGACATAGACAACTGAAGTATGGGAAAATTAAAAAAAAAAACTGTTAACAGGTATAAAAATATACAATCATGTACAAAAACTGAATACATGTTAAAGAGCTTGAATAAAGACCATGGAAAAAAATAATTGGTAGAGAAAATAAAGCATGTAAATTATAGTTAAAAAACAATATTAAAAATATCTTTATTTAATTAAAAAGAAAAGACAACAGACGAGAAAAAAAATCATGTTAAAATTTATTTATATAAAAAAGAGGAATTAATTTATTAAATAATGTTTTCATAAAGTTTTTAAAGCGTAATTTTGTTTTGTCAAAGGAATAATAAAATGTTAAGGTTTAAATAAAATTTTTGCAATAAAATATGTAATAAAATATAAAAATAAGTTAATAAATTGACACAACTACATTAAAGGCATAATATTTTTATAAAAATTATTTCTTAGTAGTTTAATAAAGATCACACAATGGTATTTAAAAAAAATGAGTCAAGGCAAATTAACAGCTGTGAAATTTTATATTTGGCGATTAGTTTCAGAATGTTGTTTCAAAAATTAGTAGTAATAATGACAGCAAAGCCATGGTCCAAATTTTGCAATAAAATTTTATTTTATAAAAATTTAAGGCCTATAAGATTTGTTTCCTTTTCTGCATGTTTTGTCATTATTATTTTTTTCTTTTTTAAGACGTCTCATATTCTGTAAATTGATTTTGCACAAAAATGTTATTTTGAACATCAACTTTAATTAATATTAATTTAAGTATTAATCAATTTAACAATGTCCGTCCATGTATTGAACTACGAAATTTTCATTCAATCAGGATCCTATATGTCTCATTTTATATTTCTATATCTATTCAATATTGCTGTTAAATGAAAAAGTACCAGTTAAAGAACGAAAAAGTTCCCGATAGTGCCCTTTTCATCAGGATGCTGAGTGTTTAATTTTACGAAAAACGCTTTTTATAAATTTTTTCAGTATTCTGTGCGTTTCTAGGTTCAATATCAGGATCAAAATATACGTTTCGATTATACGTTTCGAGTTTCAATATTGCAGAAAAATCAAGAAGTTGTAAGAATCAGTTGTATAACGAAAGAGTTTCAAAAAGTAAACTTTTGTAGATACTATAAAGCTAGGGTGTAAAAAAGATACCTAAATATTGGTATTTCCAAAATTCCCTTCTTATTGGATCTATTATGATCTGTCCAAATTTAAATTTTCTAGCTTCAACCCTGTATACTTTTTAGCACCCGACGCTATATAACTTACACCAATGAAAGACCATATCTTGATGTTATTGCAATCCCCGGAAGAGGTGCCTGGAATGTAAACTGGTGATGATAAAATGAATCCTAGGCCTTTCCTTAGAATGATTTGACATGGAAGAGGTCCCTTAGGGGTGCACGGAGTGGCTGTGGTTTAAACCCGCGGGAAGAGAATGTCGGTTAAAAGACTGATGCATCAACTACCCCACAGAGAAGTGACAGTGGGACTAAACGTTGGAAATGAATTGGTGTTAATTATATATGATACAGGATGGATGAAGGTTATACGGAACTTTCCCACCAGTATACTTAGAGTGAATATGTTGAATGTTGTTCTCTATGAGCCTGTCGAATGAATGGGAAGTGTGTGACTGGTGATGGTTGAAAGCTATCTTATAAAAATGATATCATTGAAGAATCCTTCCTTGTTCAGGTATGTTCAGGGTTTACTCTTTTCATACCAGAATTACCACAGTGTGTTCTCTGTAGGTAAGAATAAAGTTCTCGGCTGTACTGTCGCCGACTCAACCCATCTGCGTGGTTGTAAACGGAAGTGATATTTTTAGCATTTCGAAAGTTAAGCAACGGGGAAGCAATGGTCAGAGATAATATAGCTCGAGTACTTGAGCAAAGTGCTTGTACATGGACCGGCAAAACCATGAACAAAAATTGACACCGGCGTATAAGATACCCAAAGGGGCGTTGGTGAGTCGTCTAGTCAGCTCACCCAGTGTTTGAAAGTGTTCACCTAAAGCCCACCTAGTTTTATCGCAACATTCTCCCCATTTTCTAAAGGGGTCTTCGTATGGAAGCTAGGGTGAGGACCGATAAAACTTAGTTGTGCCGACGAGAATATTAACCAAAATAATAGTAAAAAGTTCAATAATACGATAATTTCATTGAACTGTCTCCAAATGTCCGACCTGTTGATTGATAACAAGATTTACAAGATATTTTCGGGTGTTCAGTTGTATGGGGACCGATTCTATCCATTTTTAATAGAATTCGTCCCTGAAAAGATAGAAGATCATGTAATAATTTTCATTGTACCTATTACGTAGATTCAAAATTGCGACTACAAGGTTTAAATCGACTCTGAAAATGATTCTTAAGATGGGGAGTAGGACCAATATTATAGTTCGTTACAAACATCAGCACAAACCCAATATAATCTACTCACTAAAGTAGTGTATAATAACAAATCACTCAACTAAATTCTGTAAAATCCGGCCAATTGACTCAAGTCCCCGAAATTCTCTTTCATTTTATCAATAAATGGTGAGTTATATGGCAAAAGAAGACTTTTCGGTAGAAATGCCAAAATTAACATTTTTTGTTATATGTAACTCCAAAATGAATCGGCGGATCTGTTATTAATGATCGTTCCTTAAAAATCTATCTTAATAAAAATCTATCTTAATAAAAAATCTAAAATTTTTAAATAAATACATTCTCAAAAAACACTTTTTACAGATGTATCAAAATTAAAAACTATTTTAATTTTTTCCATAAATAATTAGGGGATTAAATGGGCTTTTCGTAAAGCTATCAAGACATAATAGTGACAGACAAAAAAAATACATTTTTAAACAAATTAAAATTAAATGGACAATGATTTATGACTTAAATATTAAAACAAAACAAATGTAGTTGTGCCATAAGTAAAAAAAAGTTTAATAAATAATAAAAAATTTAAATAAAAAACTTACAGTTTGTATAAGTTGAGAAATAGGAACCAAAAGTTGTAGAAAATTGCTTTGCAGGCAAAAAATTTAAGTTTTTTAAGTTTTTTTTAACACTTTTTTGTGGTTTAAGCAGTTTTGGATTGCAAAAGTATTTATAGTTTTATAATAAAAAAGTAACTTTTTAAGAGCACTTGAAATTTTTTTTCAATAAAACTGGTAATTTTTTTTAAAATTGAAAATAATTTAAAATCCGTTTTTTATAAAAATAAGCACAAAATAAAAAAGGCAAGATAGATATTTAAACAATTAGGAGAAAAAACACGCACTGTAAAGAAATTTTTGGGATAAAATTAAGGGATTTATAAGGCAAGGTGAGCCTTTAAGGGGTTAAACTTTATTTTAGTTTTTTTTTTAATTGTTAGATGAAAAGCAGCACAAAAGGGATTTATGATAATAAAAGGGATGATGGTAGGAGAAAAACTGATCACGCCAATGAAAAGGAATTTGCAAAAAGAAGAAATAAGTAAAAAAGAAGCACACAAGGAAGTCGTAAAAGAAAACTTGATTAAATAGCTCAAGATGACAGACACGTTGTTATTCATATGACGTGATGGTTTAATGGTACGACTTTAAGTATTCCCAATAAAAAAAAAGGGGGTTGAATTTTGTGTTTCTTCCCGGAAAACAATGTTTAGACTGAATAAATTGTTGTATTTTTTATTTAAACAAAAAATTATTAATTTACACTAAATAAACACAAAACGCGAAAATTATTAAAACAAATAAAGAAAAAAAATCTTGCAATTAGACACCGAGAAATAAATTTTAAACGAACGAATTACAAAAAAAAATAACAAAATGATTAAAAACAAACAAATAAACAAAACGATAAATAAACTTTTTTTGTGCTCAAATTTCAAAAAATTTTAACAAAAACACATAGAATTATAGATTAAAATATTTTGAAATTTATAATGTATTATAATTTGAAAACAGTAGTTTTTGTTATAAATTTGCGCGTTTTTTTTTTTTTTTTGCCTTTTTGTTTATCGTTTAGCAATTTGCAGGGAGTAACCCAATAATTAGTTTGTTTCACTTATTGTGTTGCTGCTTTTTATTTTGTATCGCTTTACACGCGGTTTTATGTTAGAGCTTTGATTTGAAATTCAAACACTTTCATTTTCTTTTACACTACATTCGCTATTCTGCTTCTTATTCTATTCGTCACTACTTTGTTTTTGTTGTTTTTTTTTTCGGCAAATTTTATTAGTAAAAACCACTTGTTGTTAATGCTTTGGGAGCAAATCCCTTTAATTATCGTGTTTTTTAAAACAATTTATTTGCAATATAAACACACACTTTGTTTTTTTTTTAATTCTTATTCAGCTGCTTTTTCTCTTTAAATCACACAAAATTCTATTTGATTTCAATTTAACAATTTATAATAAAAATTTAATAAATAAACTTCTTTAAATTCCACTGTGTAGTTCACACGACGATTTCTGTGTAAAAACTGACACCAGAAAAAAACGAAACTGTAAATTGGATAACAAACAACAAAAATCAAAATGAAAAATAAGAAGAACACACAGACAAGAAATAAAAACAACACACAAAAAAAATTAAAAAACGACAACAACAATAGCAAACATACATAATGAGCGCGAGTGTGAGAGCGTAATTGCAGAAATTGTTTTGAAAAAAAAATAAATAAATTGAAAAAAACAACAACAATCTATTCTCTTGGGAGTGTATAGAAGAGTAGATAAAATTTGTAGATTTTTCTTTCGTTAATTTGAGTTAAAAACACGATCATTATTTAGTTTTGTTGTTAGCGTTGCCATCCATTTGTTGTGTAGACATTTCAGCTGACAGGCAGAGTTTATCTGATATCGTAATTTATGTCAACTTTCATGGTTGCCATGTTCTTGTTTATTAAGTGGCAATAGTTTTATTTAAAGAGAAAACCACTTGTTATGAATAAATTTAATTTAGTTTAGTGTTTTTAACATAGCAGAAATATAGAAGGTAGTGTCAATCTCTCATTATTTTTTTAAATTCTCTATCTGACATGCTTAAGGATTTTGAAGTTTTCGTTAAATTAGTGATACCATATACAGTTTAATTTTTCCCATTTAATAATGAAATTTTTATATATGCTTTGAAGTTTATGTAAAAAATTTATAAAAATAATTTCAATTCAGTTAGAAAATATTATAAAAATTGTTCTTTTGAATAAAATCACATTTATATTAAAATCTTTGAAAACTAATTTGTAAAATGAATTAGAGAATAAATTTTAGAATTTCAGGCAGGAGATCTTGATGTAACTTTAAGTCAAAAAATTTTCAGCTCAATAAACGAAATACCAATAGATGATTCGGAACAACTTGAGGCAAATAACTATTGATCCAAGTGTATATAGAAAAATCTAATTATTTTTACAGATTTCAGAAAATCAAACTGAGCAGTTTTTAGATGAGGTTTGCGATTTAAATGATGTTGAATTCGATGGTTTAGAGAATTTTGGCGATTACATTATTTCAAAGATGGGTCTTACAGAATTTCGCTTTAGAACTTCAGAAAAAAATGATCAAAATTATACCTATACAAATTTATTGTTCGAGGGAGGGTTATATAAGCCAAATACCAACTTTTTGAACCATTTGGAATACTTAAATTCAATTTTTTAAGATATAATGAAAATTCACTGTCAAGTAATCTAAATTATACGTCAAATTTGTTAAATTTATCTAAAATCGATTTAGATAAGAAAATTGTTAAACGATTTTATCTAGGCCGAACATTTTTCCGAATTAGGTTTTTAAACCGTCATTTAAAAGAAAACAAATACATATTCACACAACAATAAAAAAATGAAAAAAATTCTCACTTAATAAACCCGAAATGTGTTTTATTTATAAGTTTGTAGAGGAAATCAGTAATTTAATTAACTTTCTTTAATATAACATACATTTTATTTAGATAAATTAACTACACATTTTTTGTAAAATATTTCTTGAAATCCATTATTATTTTTAACATGTGGCAACTCTGTATATAAAGTTTAAAATAAGGAATACGTCAAAAAACCTTATTTAAATTTAATTTTTTTGCTTGAGACTACCTTCTATATTTATGTTGAATCTTACATAGGTTCCAAATAATATCTGTTCATGTACGGTTGTATGCTGACTAGGAGAAATAAAAGACCGATTTCTATAATTTTTATCAGCCTTTGTCATTGGATTCAAAGTATGTGGCAAATTTTAACTTGTATTGAAATTGAGAGATGTAGCGTCCACACAAGATTTACACGGTCACGAAGACGGACATAGCTTAATTGAATCAGAAAGTGTTTCCGAACCGAGTGGTAGACTAAAGGACAGATAATTTTGAGTGTTACAAACATCTGCAAATTGTGCCAGATTTTGGATAGATAATAGTATATTAGACGTACATAGTAAAGTTCTGAAATTTTTCCGATCTCCCATAAAAGGTTCATAAGTTTGTTATGGACCTGATCAAAATTATTCGATATACGACTTTTATTCTCTTTTTTGTCATACGGATGGAATTTCATTTTCGAAAAAAGTTGAAGAAAGTCGAAATAAGTCGAAAAGTCGGAAAAAGGCGAAAACTCGAAAATTGTAGAAAAAAGTCAAAAATAGTCGGAAATTTTAAAAAAGTGGAAAAAAAGTCAAAAACTCTAAAATAGTCGGAAAAACTCGAAAAAAGTCAAAAAATAGTCGAAAAAAAATTCGAAAGAAGTCGAAAATAGTCAAAAAGTCGGAAAAAATCGAAAAGTCGGAAAAAGTCGACTATTTATAAAATACTTATAGTCGAAAAGTCTAAAAGTCGACTTTTAATTAAATGAAAAAAGTCGAAAAATTGACTTTTCATAAAATGCAAAAAGTCGACTTTTAACTAAATGAAAAAAAGTCGAAAAGTCGACTTTTCGTTTAAACTATAGAACCCTAGTAAGTTCTTATACAAACGTATTGTATGCAGGGCTGCCAGATAAATTTGTAGAAATATCGGCAATTTGTTCCCAAAAAAATCGGCATTTATCGGCACTTTGAACCAAAGAAACATATCACAAATTAATTCAAAAATCACAATATTGTTTTTACATACATAACTCTGGGAATTTTTATTCAGAATAGGTCTAATAAAAGAACTCTTTCTAAGGGTACACCGAAACTTTGTTTTACTGGATAAAATCGATTAGAATTTTATCACTTTTCCAGAAAAATTTAAATGTATAATTATTTGTTGAATACTACTCTGTAAAATATTTTAAAATGTTGGTAATGAGTGTAGTTATTTCATACATTAATTGGCAATGTGTGGTCGTTATCAACAACATTAATTACTTTTTTTCAATAGGATTTGTAGCCAATTGTCTAGAGCGTATGTCTAATAAGGAATTAGTTAGTGGTTATAATCCTCGATATTAGAACTTTTTTGAATAAATGTTTTTTACATTTTTGTTAAAACCATTCGAAATAGCACTATAAAATAACTTAATGGAGCATTGAGTAAGACAATAGACTAATAAACACAGAAAATAACTGTAAAGCCGGGAAAGTCGGATAAGCACATTTGTAATCAGTTATTTTCTGGTCATCGTCGAAAAAAAACCGTGTAGGTAAATTTTTGATGGGTAAATTTTAATAATGGGAAATTATCCCCAAATTTTTGTTCAAGATTATTTTTTCCACAAAATGTGTAAATTTAAACCATAAACAATTTCTTCAAAATTTGAAACCTTTTCGGAATTTTCATTCATTTTCATATATCTCGATCCAATTGACATTGCTGATAGAGCAAATTGTGTTTTACCGTAATGTAAATTTTCTTTTCCCAGTTGTATCAAAAGCTCCATGTCATTTTTGTGAAGTTTAGTTTTGACAATAAATTTGTTAGAATTGCAAGAAAATCAATAAATATAACGAATTTACAATATTTTTGGATTGGGTAAATATCGGCATTTTTGAAGCAAAAATCGGTAAATCGGCACTTTACTATTTTTAGGATAAAATATCGGCAAAATGCAGATAAATCGGCAAATGCGATTTGTGCCAAATTATTACCAGTGTATTAACTTTACCAACTCTGACACTCAATCAATTGATTTGTTTGATATCAAACAACAGTGTTTGTGTCTTCGCTTACTGGCTTATTGTGCCTCAGCTAAATATTTTAATAAGCATGACGTCTATCGATCTGGATTTAATAAGATGACATCACTGGAACACTGATTTCTTATGCAAATAAAAACAACATTCAGCGTGCGCACAAGCTTTACATGGACACACAGTCAGATAGACGGATGGAAAGACGGACATACATATGTATGTAGCTAAATCGACTCAGAAAGTTATTCTGAGTCGATTGGACCAATATTTTTGGATGTTTTATATTATTTTTTTCGTGTTCCGTACATTAATGGGCATCAATTTCTACATGAGATTCTTAAAAGGGCGTTTCCTTGGGACACTCTAACGCAACGGTTCCCAAAAGGGGGTCCGCGGACCCCTAGTGGTCCGTAGCAAAATCCTAGGGGGTCCGCGAAGACGAACGAAAAAAATCATGAATAAAAAATATTCTCTATATATTAGAAAATATTAAAAATATCTCCAAATTTTTCATAACTACTAAAATACACAATTTTTATTCAATAATCCCAGATTTGTTGGTGACTTTTTGAATTTTATTGTTTCGGTCATTTATCAGGATGATGCTAGGCCCTACAAATTTATTGTTTCACTTTTATAAAGTAAAATATTACGTGATTTGTAATTTTTATAAATGTATATGTATCGAAATAAATGTTTTTATATCAGACGGATAATGATTTGCCTTAGAATTAAATACTGATACTGGTATCCCGGAATATGATGTTAGGTCACATTTCATAATATTTTTTTAAATTGTAAGCAAAAGTGTTAATCTAGTTAATTTTAAATATAAATATTCCATTCCGACGTGATACACAGATTTTAACTTCATTTTGTTGTCCAATATTATTAAATCAACATCAGAAAATTCATAGTGGTTTGCGTAGTCAAAACCACGCAGTAAAATAATTCGTAGGTATTTTAAAATTCAAATTTAAGATCCAAATTCACAGTACATTCGCAAAGAGTTCAGGTCATATTTTATGTGGGTAACGCATTCCGCAACAACATCGAAGAAGTCTAACTTTCACATATTTTCCTGAAAACTTAGCTTACATACTCAGCTCACTCCTATGCAATCGCAAACAAATTTAGAAACATGACTCTTTAAGCACATGTCGACAATAGTTTATAAAGAGAAATGAACATGAAAGCTCTCATGATCATAAAATTAAACATCATGTTAGAAGTCATTCTATATTTAAAACCATGCAATTGAAAACATCTCCGAAATACTAAATATTCTCAATGTACGGGAATATTTTATAGGGTTTATGGACCAGGACTAAGAGAATTTTCGGATGAACAATTATTTATAACAATAAGATATCAAAATATGTATGGGGGTCCGTGAAATTAAATAAATTCCTCAAGGGGTCCGCGAAGTAAAAAACTGTGGGAACCGCTGCTCTAACGTACATATGTATGACCATAATTCTGACCAATTAAGTCAAGGCTCAATGTTTTATGAAAAATTCATACAATTCAAAAGGTTTTATATAAGTTAATTTTAGCTTATAAATGTATAAAATGATTTTAAGCAACATTTTAGGATATGAAAATTATAATTTTGACCAAGGCTAAATAA